AGAAATGTCATCGCTAATCACCAAGTTAACTACGCCGAAAGCACAAGCAGACTGTCGCCTGCCAACCGCCTGTTGTGGCATCGGATTTGTTCAGTAGAGAAGCAGGCTATAACATGCAACACACATTTTAAAGAGTTTGCCATACACATGTTTGTCGCTGAAGGCTATTCGAAAACCAATTTGCATCGTTGAAGAGATGCCCACGAGACACCAATAAACGCAATACACATAGATGATTTGATTAACAAATAATTTCGTTAGGAATTTCATCATGTTTATATATTCTTGCATTCAAAACGTAAGATTACACTACTACAGATGTTCATGAACACTTATGTTCCAATTCTGTGTTTCAAGTGATATATTTGTGAAAATTTGATTTCGCAAATCATTACCCAAGCATAATGATCGCGAGATGGAGTGGATCCGCAGTATCATAATCACAGTATTTTTGTTCATGTTCTTTCGGGGAACACAGCTAACATGCTTGCCTTTTTAAGCAAACGGGCGTGAATTAATAAAGTTCAAGTAACTGTTTGAAGATTTTCTGGTTTATTTAAGACAATATTAAGTTTTCGGAGGCGTTTTTACTAGAAATTCCTTTTATGAAAACATCACGTACAAGTGACCTTTGGTTTTTAATTTGATCAGTACACCGCTTGCCCCTATGACTTCTGACAGATGTGCCTGTTTGCCGTCACGTAAAGGGGAAAGTCAAATGAATATAAATGGCGGTCTTCGAAGGATAAAGGGCGATACATCTCTGCGTGTATGGGGAGTTTTACATTACCAGGATGTTATCTTCGTCTGCACTTGAGATGTCTTCTACTTGTTTGTACTGGTGTACGTATCGTTTTGCCTGTCTAACCTTCATCAAAAGAAAACAATTTCATGCAAATTAAAAACAACACGAGAAAACGAAAGTAAATAATCAACAGCAGCAAACAAAACAACAACAACAATCAAAACAACAAAAGTAAAAACAGACAACAATAGGTTCCGGGTCCCCTGGGTTGGTCAGTGTTTACCTATAAAAAAACAGTAAGACAACCAAATAATTCCTATTGCGTCGTGGTCCAACAAGCAACATAACATTTGGGTTAAAGTCATCACCTGACTATCATACTATATAAAGAAGATGACGCCATTTTCTCCCACCCTTCACAAGTGTGTCTCCCGTTTAAGCCGGGAACGATCAACTTGTCACCCCTAAGGGGAGATAGCCTCGTGCCAATTAGCACGTGTTCAATTGTGACGTCATTAAAATGAGTCATCGGTAATTGTGACGCCATCAAACGTGAATGACGATATGCATACCCCACATGTGTTTTTGTTTACAAACATGGCAGACTACTGTCGGTGGAGCTTTGACTGAGATAATAGGATGGGAGAAAAAAGAAAAAAACCTACCTTGAGGTTGTAACAGAAAAGAGCCTCGGGTTAGACAACCAAAAAACATCCCCCCACGGGTTGGAGATTTCTCTGTCACACCCTCAAGGAAGGGGAAGATTTTATTAATACTTAGCCTTCTTTTCCTCGGTGGAAACATAACAATCCCCATGCTTATGGGGTTTACTTGTCAGTCGTATAGCTACCCTTAAATAAGTCTAAAGATAGCAAGATAGAAGAATAAATGCGTTTGATGTTGTAAATGATAAATATTGACATCTTTTTTCTTCCGGTTGCAGTATAATGAGAGGAGGGCGGGGACTAATATAGGCTTCAAGCCTGTTGTTCAATTTTTTGTCCTGATATTTTGCTATTGTTGATTTGTTCAAATTAAATTAAATTAAGTATAACATTGTATTTCATTCATGCGCCCTTAAGAACATTTAACTACATTGTACAAAGTTTCTGCCAACGGGCTTCAATCTGCAAAGGAGAAATTTACTGTTTTAATGATTTCTTAATAGACCTTACCATGAAATGATTTCGAACGAAGACCAAGGTTATGTGGTTTCACCTCCGGTTTTCTTTCTTTCCTTTTACCATGATATTTTTTCCGTTCCTGCTTTTGTTGCTGTTGAAACATACACATGTGTCTCAGCTTCACGTTTATATTTAAACATAGTCATAGAAAGGTTGAAATTGCTACAAAATAAGATAATTTCACATGCACACACATTCAATAAAAAACGTAGTATCTAAATCAGTTTACCGGTATGAGAGTGTCATACTACTAAAGATAATTAAGTAGCATTATAAAACATTTATTGCATGAAAAGATGAAAAACATCATTAGACATTAAACCATTGGTCTTAACTAAATAGCGGAAGTAAATGGATGGGGTTTAACAACCTCCTTAAATGAAGTTACCTCTTTTGACAGTAAATGGAAAAGTATTCCGAAACGTGGCTGCTGTCTCTCAGAAACATCTTTTCCGTATTCAGCAGGGCTTCGGCCTTTCACCTTAGTAATCTTGCCGGTTGACATTTTGTGTCAAGCTCCTCGTATAGTATAGTGTTTCGCTGCTGGATACGTGTAGCTAGCCGATCGGCTGTGTTCTAAGCTCTTTCGACATAGGCGGATCAGAGACACTATATAGGAAGACTTGTTCAGGCAGGAAGTCATGTTATTACATTAATCTCTTTCTTTATAGTCAAAAAACTGTCAAAATGCATATCTAGGTTTCTTACAAAGGTGAGATATGAATTGATTTAGTTCGGTTCTTTTTTTCCTCATATGGTACTTGGGTATCAGGAATGAGTTTTTTTTCTGATTGCGTATATTGGCAGTCACCGCAGCACTTGATATCGACTAGACAGTCTTTCACTATGCTCTCCGAGGTCTTATTGGTTACAACATATCTCGCCGATTTGGTTATATTTGGCGGCGGACAAGTCGAGCAAGACCGAAACTGTCATACATGTATGCCCAATACCACAGTAGTATTACAGTATCCCTGAAGTAGTAAAATGTTCGATGCGCCTATGTCATGTTGCAGGTGAGATTGTTTGCATGGAGATGTAGCCCACTGCGCTTGGAAACAATCTTCTCTGTGATCTTAGATGATAGTCCAGTGTTGATACTGCATGGTACTGATCTGTCAAAATTCCCTTTAAAAATCAATGAAACGTTAGATACTACCAAATATATTTTCGTAATGGACGAGCCTTATCTTTTATTAAACATTTGTTTCATTATTATACATAAGACAATCTCGCTTTAGTTTAGCTGCGGTAACCATAGCTCGAGACCAGATCGATTTTAAGTATTTCAAAGTGAACAAGAAATCGATCTAACGTTGAGCTGCGGTCCCCACAGCTAGATCTTTTATGTGATTTGGTGAAGATCCTGTAAACCTTCTCTTGATAGATAGCACCTGTCCGTGATTGGTTCAAAGGTCTATCAGCAAATTTAACGTGAGTAGTCAAGAAAAGACTATTGGTATTCATGGTAGTTTAATTTTACATATGTTGTTCTTTGTTGTGGCGATGATTTTATTCATGAAGAAATTGTTAAACAGTGATTAGATGAGTTATATCTAAATAAACAGTTCGGTAGGACAACTTTCCTTTCTGTCCATCTGCTTAATTATTCGCAAGTCTAGAAAGCTGTTCATAATTGTACTCCACAATTTGGTATTTTGTATTGAATAAACGGTGACTTATATTCAGGAATTCCCTCTAACAGCTTGCCATAAAGTTACCCGCGCTCTTTATCTGGTGTACATTTTGTACAAAATACACACGGTACGGCTTCGACTGTGATATCGCAAAGAAATTGGTTGTGAAATCGAATAGAAATAAATTGTGTCAGTGAATTCTTTTTTAAATTGCTATATCAAATAACTTATACCCATGCTCCAAATCATAAAAAATAAAAATATGTTTCCAGGGAAAACAAAACGTTAGGGGGGTTAGAACGACACCCTGTCACACACACTTTTATGCAGATTTCATGAAAAATGTCCAAATTTTTCACTTTTGTTTTAACTCTTTTAACTTAAGGTGCGATTGATTCTTAAATTTGCATTGGTTTTGCAGCAGCCATGTTTTCGTAATATTATTTTATCCTTTCAGGTAACCTTCTTTAGGTTTATTCAAGAAGTTGGCATTTGACCTTGAAGCGAAATCATCATTTCATCGGTTAATAATCCTTGATCAATATAGTCTCATCTTTCACAATAATCAGACATAAGACTTGAAAAGGATAAAAACAATATTTATTTGACCTTGGTTTTTGACCTCATGTTAAAAGGATTGTCCAACCAATTTATATATCATTACAGTGTATTGAGTGTTTGGTCATGTGATACCTGTCCGTCTCTTCCTTAATACAGTATATGTAACTTTGTAGTTCAGCAAGGATGATGTCGTATTTCTTTCAGCTGTTGTTCGACTCCATCCTTGCTGAACTACAAAGTTACATATATTGTATTGATATAACTCATTAAACCCACGGAATTAGATGTTATCTAAGTCCGTGATTAAACCATATACATGTCTATTGAAAACTACATTTATATGTACAGTACTAGGTAATATTTTTATTTAATAGTTCATAGTTTGTCAGATATTGTTATTTTTAGTTTCCGTCGTGGCCGTTTGACAAAACTAAACTATTTGATAAATTAACACATGAATGATTCCACAGTAGCAAGGTTGTCATATATATATATGTGTGTTTATTGTTGTACTTATAGCTATATCAAGGCGGGAATAGACGACTCATCTGATATTGTTCCGGGAAAACTGTCTTCATATCTAAAAGAAGAGATGATGCATTTACATGTATTGGCTGTTTAAGAAGATATTTAAATTCATTTATTTTTGTGATAATCGGACATTTTACATGGGTTTTTTTAAAGTAATTCTGAAACAAATCCGGGCGTTTTACCTAGTACATCAAGGATAACACGACTTTTAGAGAAACCAATCAGGATAATAGGAAAATATTACTATTACCGTTTCACTGTTTAATGGGCTTATGCAAGTCTATATTCAATGTTCGAGTTATGTTTCCTTTGTTGTGGAACTCTTTAATTAGTGCACTAGGTCACAACTGTCAACTGTCAATGAAGAAATGATACCCGCTGCAATCGCTGCAGTGTTTCGCGACTGCGTTGGGACGGATGACAAAGATGAACATCACGGATACCAGCTCCAGCAATTTATCAGGTCGGGCGACATAGACAATTTCAAAGATTCTCTCAAATACCCCGAGTTCCGAGCAGTTATCAATATGAAAAACCACTTAGGATGCACACCACTGAGGATTGCAGCCGCGGGTAAGACCTGTCTAGAACCATCTCAGTATCGTTCCCTTCAGAGACGTATATATATGTCTCTGTTCCATCCGAGTGTTTCCGGAGCTGACCCCTATAATATTAATAATATTTACATAACGCCATGTACATTGTAATCAACAAGCATAAAAGCTCTAGAGAGCTTTGTGTTATGCTGCTAAGGGGTCAGCAGCATACGATAAACGAATGTTGACTCATATTATTTCAGACACACCTGGGGATCAAACCGAAATTCTTAACGAGTCAACATTCGTTTATCGTNGTTAGATGTTTATTTTCATTTTTCATAAATGTAAAATTTCCAATTTCTTTACATCATTTTTTTTTAAAAAGAATGTACTTATATTTAATGTCTTTTGTTATCAACCTAATGATACAATCTTCTTTTAAATGCAACTTTGTTCCGTTTTCCTTAAAAAAGAAAATCACTTGAAAATAGCTCAAAAGACCTATTTCAGATAGGTCAATAGAGCTATTATAACTGTAGGTCTTTACAGCTATATAGCTCAATCGACAGAGTGTACTGGAGCTGTTTTATTCACACACATATATTCCTTCTAATTTAAATCATAAGTCATGTTTTTCCTACATGTATTCATACAAATATGCCAAGCCGTTTTAACATTTAATGCTATTTCCTCTTAAGGAAAAAATATTCATTTAACTTAAAATAATAAAATAAGTAAAATAATACATAATGTTAAAAAAATTATTCACCTAAAAGTAAAAAAATAAATAAGTGAAAGAAATTTGAAGTTTATTTTACTTTAAGATAAAATAGTATTAAAAATGTTAAAACAGCTAGCCATAGGATATATACATGTACCAGTAAAGTGAGTTTTCAGGTTGAAAATGTTTTTGAAAAGATAAGAACGATACATGTACACTCTGATAATATATATATATAACATTGTAATAATGCTGACTTTGAAGCTATTGATCAATTAAAGAATGACCAAGATTTTGTTTTGGTATATACGGTATATACCGGAAAAAAAATCGCGGATTTATGCAAAAAAGTGCACAATTTTTATTTTGGTATATACCAAAACAAAATCTTTGGCATTCTGTATAATTTAATTTTAAAAAAGTAGACAAACACATTGTAAATGCACAGTTAAAGATTTATTTAATTTTTACGTAAATTAAACAATTGCGCTATAAAAAAGCTGCGTTGTAATTTTGCATTCTGAAGTGTAAAAAGTAGTTCCGTCATCAGTTTTTCTTTTTAGGTATATACGATATATACCAAAAAAAATATTATGGGGGAGATAGGCAAAATTAAATTATTTGTTTATATTTATACATTTTATCACAGACTTAGATAATTCTAATTCCGTGATTTTATATACATGTACTGTTGTGCCAGTAATACATGTACTATATATATTTTATTGGATATGAGTACCTCTGAGTACTTTGTCTAGTCTTAAAGCCTTTTATTTTAACACTGAAAAATTACCAGTTTTTAACTAAGGAGTTTGCTATGTACAATGTATTATCTATCTTAGATAAGTTCAGTACTATTATCTCTTGTCGATTTCAGAGGGTCAACTTGAGTGTGTACGGTACCTGCTGGACCTAGGGGCACTAGTAGACAGCCCAGATGTCAAACTTCAGACACCTTTATTGGTAGCAATGAAGAATTTCCACTTTGACTGTGCAGAACTTTTATTAGAACGAGGAGCCAGCCCTAACGGGGACCCACACCATATCACCACACCAATATATATCATGACAATGGAGGGTTCATTCAGGGGGATGAAGGTAATTACAGTTTCTAATGAATACCAACATCCTTATGGCACCGAATCATTAGAGTGTGTTTTTCTACCTGATAATACAGGAACCCTCATAGGAATAATTTCCAGCTTTAATTCAATTCATGAGAGAGATTTTATATTCAAGAAGTGACTCTCAAATTAGGTTCATTTTTTTTAAATCAACACTTTCAGTCATTTACTAAACACAATATAAGAATGACTGCAGCACTGTATATATAGGGTGCTGTGGATTGTTCAGGCAGGTGCGCAGGGTGAAAATGGGAAGGTGTTGGTTTATGTTATGTGGATGGTGTGCATATTACAAAACTAAAGACTCGGCAAAAGGAAGTGATAGAATGACATCTTCATTTATTTCGTTAGTGTCCTTGATAAAAATAGAAATTACCTGATCCTTGCCTGTATGATGTTCTAGACCTTTTAGGGATATACTGCTAGAGCCTTAGCTTTAGCTCAGATTTTTGAAAAGACACATTACCCGGTAATTCCTACATGTGTACCCCCCAGTAAATGTTTTTTTTGCAATTTGAGTTGTCAATATTTCTCTCTTTCAAATTTTGCAAGTTGGTTATTTATTTCTATATGAAATTTTCTGATTTTGAGATTTTGAGTTGCTTGTTTATTTACTATACGTGTAGTAAAGAACTTTTAAAAGATTGTATATTTTTCCTCTAAGCCTGCACCCTACAATTGTAAAGAGAGATGACTTCAAGGCTTGTATGTATAGTGGTGGTACTCTTTACCCAAACAAATACATGCCATATGTTTTATGTTAATAGAGTGATGTTTTTAAGGTAAAACGCGCTTTATAACATGATTTCAATCTGGAAGTTTATAATATAATTGATTCCAGTAGGTTGCCTAGCTATTAATTCATATTGTTTGAATAACCACAGGTAAACACCTTCATGATAAGTATGAAGTATTTTTAGTTGCTTTTTACTTGATACATCCTTTTCAAAGTACTTTTACTTTCCAGTTTTCAACCAGGTTTTAGATATGCATGTCACATGATAGAAGAGCATGTGTACTTTTAGCCCCTAAAATCTTAAAATTGAAAGCAACAATAAACAACATTAGTTGTGTGCAATTCCAAACTGCAATTGTCTTACTATATGATACCAATCTATAGATATCCCTTTCATGAAGATGTGAAATTTCAGCCATTTTCATCCAAATTTACAAATGTTTCAATCTTCAACTAAGTTGTTGGTTTGCTAATAATGAACATTTAAAACGGAAATATGAATACCCCCTTACTGTACCACCTGACTGCCTGTATCTCATAAACAACGTAATAGATTTTACACTCCATTCTTAAAGATTCATTTTAATGGAATCATTACTAATCAGATTCAATACTTTGATACCATTGTAACACTGAGGCCACCTCATGAATATAAAGGTATAATTTACATATATAGCTTACATTACTCTCCACAAGAGTTTCATACTGAAAGAAACTAGTTAATGACAAATAAAGATGAAGAAGAATGCATAAATATGTATTGATGACATACAGATAACCTTAATTATAAGGTGATCAATGGTAATCAGTGTTGTTTTTAGGGGAGACAACTCTAACACAGGTGATCAGATACATGTACACAGTGCAGTAGCACACAAACTGATGTGCCTCTGCTCACAATGCAAGTCAAACATTTTTTTAGTGTTGCCACTTGTTGCTGACCACACTGACAAAGAAAATCTTCTTTCAAAGTTTCATCGTATTTTTCAAAATGATATTTGATCAGTTTTTTGCCTTCAGGTAATTAATTACGTTTTTTTTATATTTCAGTTACTATTAGAGCATGGCGCCGATACATATGAATCTCATAACCACATCCTACCAATGATGTCACTGCATGTTCCAGTGTGTCCCGTTCAGGTAGCTTTGACCTATAAAAGGTACAACTGTCTACGGTTGCTGCTGAGCTACGGGGCAGAAACAAATTATTTCCACTTTTACAGTCACATTGAAGAACAGAAACACATGATGCTATATGACATATGCATTAGTAAGTCATGTGTGTTAGTTGGATTTCAACTTCTGTATGAGTCTGGAACCAATATATATATACGACCTAAAGAGAGTAAACAAGTGTGGGAGATGGAGGAGAGACCACACATCCAGAGCTACCTAAAATACATCACTGGTATGTATACTATCTGAGGCCACTTAAACCCATCTCGTGTAAAAACAACCAGGGAATAATTACAGTAAATACATCACAGATATATACAATCAGGGCTTAACCTAAAATACATCACTGGTATGTATACTATCTGAGGCCACTTAAACCCATCTCTTGTAAAAACAACCAGGGAATAATTACAGTAAATACATCACAGATATATACAATCAGGGCTTAACCTAAAATACATCACTGGTATGTATACTATTTGAGGCCACTTAAACCCATCTCTTATAAAAACAATCAGGGAATAATTACAATAAATACATCACAGATATATACAATCAGGGCTTTACCTAAACATATCACTGGTATGTATACAATTTATGGCCTCTTAAACACATCTCTATCAATTCAATCGGGGAATGATAACAATAAATAGGTCACTGATATATACAATCAGGGCTTTACCTAAACATATCACTGGTATACCATCACCCAAAGCATATCAATCAATGGTGGGTAAAATCAGAGCCTATACTATACATAAACACATCAGATCACTGGTAATATACTAGCAGGGCTTTATACCTAAACACATCACTGGTAATATACAATCAGGGCTTTATACATAAACACATCACTGGTAATATACTATCAGGGCTTTATACCTAAACACATCACTGTTAATATACAATCAGGGCTTTATACATAAACACATCACTGGTAATATACAATCCGGGCTTTATACCTAAATATATCACTGGTAATATACAATCAGGGCTTAAATATACCTAAACACATCACTGGTAATATACAATAAGGGCTTTATACATAAACACATCAATGCATGGTAATATACAATCAGGGCTTTATACCTAAACACATCACTGGTAATATACGATCAGGGCTTAATACCTAAACACATCACTGGTAATATACAATTAGGGCTTTATACATAAACACATCACTGGTAATATACGATCAGGGCTTTATACATAAACACATCAGATCACTGGTAATATACAATCAGGGCTTTATACATATACACATCAGATTACTGGTAATATCTATACAATCAGGGCTTAACTATACCTAAACATATCACTGGTAATATACAATCAGGGCTTTATACATATACACATCAGATTACTGGTAATATATATACAATCAGGGCTTAACTATACCTAAACATATCACTGGTAATATACAATCAGGGCTTTGCCTAAACACATCACTGGTAATATACAATCAGGGGCTACCTTAATCACATCAATTCCTATGCAGTCAGGGATGATGTATATATTATATACAGTATAGATGTATAATATCTGAAACATATCACTGGTACTTGTGCACAACCGTTATTGTTGCGTCTATACTTCAAGAGAGGTAACTCTTTGAAATATGATGTTTTGATGTATCAACCAGTATTTTTAGTAACAGTTGACCTTCTATAAACTTTGTTTTAATGTATTAAATATGAATCAAAATACATATCTGCACTAATACAATGATTCATATGAAGTAAAATATATTATCTTTACTATCTATTAAAATACCTCCATTTAATGCCATTGTTCATAGGAAATATGTACAGGTCTCTGAATATTATACTTTCAAAATTTGACTTGCTGCATTAGCTGTGGAAAGCAGTTTTATACCATGAAACGTATTAAAGAAAAAATAACTTGAGATACATGTGATATTCAATGCCTCCTTAAGTATATGTTAAGGTACATGTACAGTGTATTTTTATACCCTGTATATATATAGGTATACACCTGTATTTTCAGAGAATCCCCGTAGTCTGAAGTCGAGCTGTCGCTTGTCTCTGATGCATCAATATGGACGAAGCCTATTGTCACAGTTAGACAAAATGGACATCCCCACTGTCCTTAAGACCTATCTCAGTCTTGCCGATATCCCTGACAGTTGACAACACACTGGCATAGAGACACTAGTAATAATTTACTTGTTCTTTCTCATATGGTGTTTCAACATTTTATAAAAACGTTTTTTATGCAATTTACAAATAAATGTGCCATTTATTATCATAAGTCATTTATTGTATTGTTTTTTAGGGTTTTCCTACCATTTATTGAATGTATTTTGTATAATATTTACCCGGTGTTTAACCCATTTTTTGCAAATCACAATTTTTACCCCAAGTGCTTTTCCAAGATATTATTTTTTCAATCCAGCACAGTAACTGTACAAAATTTGATTTTGAAATGTTTAAATGATGTGAGTTCTTACACAGAAAGGAAAACACGTTTAGATTTTGTAAATTTACACCAATTTCTAAAGTAATTGTGTCCTATTGCAGTAAATCTTTGAATACATTTAGTTGCATTGATAGGTAAAGCTACATTGTAATCATGTGATATTCATAATTAATAATAAATGTCTGTAGTTTGTACAGACAATGTAGGACCAATGGAACCTCTACCCAAGAGGTTGGTATTGGGGTGATAACTGAGCTGTCCCATATCCCAGCCACTCGTGCCTCCATTATGATTAAATTTGTTTGTCATATATCTTCTCATCTTAAAAGTGGTGTACAATGAACATGTTCAGTGAACAGGAACATTTTCTACACCAATTTCTTCCCTTTTATTTAAAATAATATCTCGGTCAAACCAGTAAATAACTTACTGATAAAAAGACAATGCTGCAAATTCTCACTTCCCAGTTCTTATTTGGATAGTGGTTAAAAGTAATAAACATGTCAGCATGTATCAAAAAAGTTTAAGATGTTACTTAATATATATTTAATGCATTTTTATTGGCCTTTATGTATATGCATTAGTGGATAGTGGTTTAAAGTAATAAACATGTCAGCATGTATCAAAAAAGTTTAAGATGTTACTTAATATATATTTAATGCATTTTTATTGGCCTTTATGTATATGCATTAGTGGATAGTGGTTAAAAGTAATAAACATGTCAGCATGTATCAAAAAAGTTTAAGATGTTACTTAATACATATTTAATGCATTTTTATTGGCCTTTATGTATATGCATTAGTTTTCTATTGGGTTAGCTCCCTTTGATGTGCACATGTCTGATTGTATAATAATTAGATATTACTCTCAGACGTTGTGGATTATAGCTTTGTTTTAAGACATAATGTGTTGTAGCTTTAAAATAATATTACTTGCCTGCCATATACCAGACTGTGCCAACAATGTTGCCATAAACTATAACTTTTGTTCATTTAACCACGGAATTAGATTAAGTCCGTGATTTAACAAACATGATTACCAATATTAAACGTCTACATTACAACCTTTAGAAAAATGTTGTTGTTACTGATAGCGATTTTGGAAGCTGCAAGGCCTCAATTTCTCAAGAAGAGCTGACTGGTACCGATAGGCTTATGTAGTAATAGTGGACTGTCCGTCCCATTGTCTATCCATCTGCCTATCGTCCGTTTGTCCAGCATCATTTTTAGCTCACCTGCCCGAAGGCCTATGCCATGGTGCGGCGTCCGTCGTCCGGCCAGCCGGCCGTCGTCAACTTTTCCATTAAAACTACATCTTCTAAACAACCAAAAAGTCCAGGGTACTGATATATGGCCAGTAGCATGCTGGGATGAAGGGCTAACAAGTTTGTTCAAATGAACGACCTTGACCCACTTTCAAGGTCACAGGGGTCAAATGTGTTAACATCTTCAAACAACTTCTTCTCAATAAACAAAAGGCATATGATGATGATATTTGGCCAGTAAAATGCTGGTATGAAGGGCTACCAGGTTTTTGCAAATAAATGACCTTCATCCATGTTCATGGTCACAGGGGTCAAATATGTTTAAAACCTTTACACAACTTCTTCTGAATAACCGAGGGTCCTAGCTAGGGTGATGATATTTGGCCAGTCATATGCCAGGATGAAGGGCTACCAAGTTTGTTCAAATAAATGACCTTCATCAATTTTCATGGTCACAGGGGTCAAATATGTTTAAAACCTTTAAACAACTTCTTCTGAATAACCAAGAGGGCTAGGATGATGATATTTGGCCAGTAACATGCTGGGATGAAGGGCTAACAAGTTTGTTCAAATGAATCACCTTGACCCACTTCAAAGGTCATAGGGGTCAAATGTCTTAAAAACCTTCAAACAACTTCTCCTCAATACACACCCAAATTGAATAATTCGTAGAGTGTGTATTTCATGAACGGTAACGGGGGCCCATTACTCAGAGAGAAACTCGACTAACACTATGTCAACATCTAATACAACCAATTAAGCGCAGCTTTTTTGTTCATTTATGACAAATAAATAAACCAATACTTCAATAAATGAATTGATATCAAGTTTGATTATATTGCGTTGAAGAGGCCTTGGGGCGTTATGGGTCATTTTTGGCTTCAGAAAACGAAAATGTCTCAACTTGAATTTATTTACCTTTCCGGGGGATATCTTACTTGGTGCAGATTTTTTACAACGCGCATGCGTAGATGCCCTACCATAGCAACAAAATTGCGTTGCTATGCAGAAATAGCAAAAATATGGTGTTTTTGGACAGTTAGCTTGCAGAAATGAAAGCCTCCGCATATTACAAACAAAAAATCCTTTCTATGAATGAACACTGTTATGGCAATTTTTAAGAATGACAAATATTTATTTGTTTGGTGCATGCGCAGGCTTTTAAAAACTGAAAAATATTTAGTTATTTCCTTCAAAATAGCGCATTTTCAACAAAATAGAGCACAGTAGACGATATTCACGCATTTCATTATGAAAATGCGGGTTTTTGTTTCTCTTTGTAATCCGATATCTCCTAAACCAGTTGTCGAATGAATTTGTAACTTCACGTACTTCATTTATTCCAGATAACGAATATAACAACTAATTCTAAATCCGCGATGAGACCGGAAATGACTTAACGCCTCTTGTCCAAATTTATCTCAGCTCTAAGTAGTGTTTACCTTTCTTGAGTATATTTCTGCAAGATATTGCCCAAATATGATTTTAAGGCTTTTAAGTCCTCCAGGAATCGATTAAGCATTTTTACAAACTTAATCCTTGTGACTTTGAATGCAGGTCAAGATCATACATGTACCTTTATTACAAATGCATAGCGACACATTGAGTCTAGAGCAGATTTCATTTGAATCCTTAACAAATTTGACTCATGTAACCTGAAAAATGGGCCAAGGTCATTCCATCTCACAAACGTTGCATGATGAATAGGAAATGAGAGTTCTGCATAAATCCGTCCCTCCCTCTATATTTATAGTAAATCCCTCCCTGACGGGATGGATCAGTGAGGGACCAGTGAGGGATGAGGGACTGACCCCTTAACCTTGTGAGGGACTGACCCATGACCTTTCATAGGAATTCCCTCTCAAAATAGATTGAATACCCCATAGGGAACATTGAGGGACTGCCTTACGTCAAGTCTATTTTTAGAGCAACTGGTTATAGCACGTAGACACAGTATAAATAACTGCGAGAAGCTTATTATTGTTCCATTCTGCAACCATGAGTTGGAGAGAACACTTGAACCGTATCTACTTTGACCTGAGTAGTCCTATTAGTTATGCAGGACCAGAAAAGATCTACAAATTTTTAAGAAAAGAGGGGAAGTACAAGGTCGGCCTTCATGCTATTCGTCACTTCCTTCAGGATATTGACGCCTATAGTTTACAACGCCCACTTCGTTACAAGTTTCGGACTAGGAAAGTTATATCTCAGGGTCTGGATGCTTTATGGGATGTGGATCTTGCTGATGTATCCAACCTAGGAAAAGAAAACGATGGGATGCGTTATCTATTCGTCGCCATTGATGTGTTTT